ACAATCACAGTTGACAAGAAACCCTTCTCCACTTCAGTCTTCAAAGTTCTCATTTGAATAACTGCTACTTCCACCAAGATCTGCACTAGAGAAATTGTTCCACGACAACTCACGTATATCGCTTTCAAACAAACTCTACGATTTTCTACTCGTAAAAAATTAGCATTCGATAAAAAATACATATATTATTATCGTTCTTTTTTTTACGGCCTGGTATCGGTGATTCGCTTTAGCGCCATCCATTTTCAGGGCTAGTTCATTCGGTAGGTGAGTTGTTACACACTCCTTAGCAGATTTCAACTTCCATGACCACTGTCCTACTGTCATAATGAACTAACACCTTTTCATGGGATCTAATGAGCGAATAACTTAGGCACCTTATCCAGGCGTTAGGAGCATCCCTCATCGCCAGTTCTGCTTACCAAAAATGGCCCACTTGGAGTTCAACATTTTAATTGAGAATCATACAATATATTGCTATAAGCTATGAATACTCTCCTTACCAATTGGGAGTTTGAGAATAGGTCAAGAATAACAATATTCCTGATTCCTCTAATCATTATCTCTACATGGTAAAACTAAAAAAAACTCCAGCGATCCTGAGAGATCTTTCGAAAATAACCAGCTAATAGGCTTTTCGATTAGTCTTTCGCCCCTAAACGCGATTGAAATGAACGATTTGCACGTCAGTATCAATTCGATCCTCCATCAGACTTTCGTCAGACTTCAATCTCATCACGCTTAGTTCAAAGCCTCTCGGGTCCTAACAAGTATGCTCTTACGCAGTCCTACTTATATAAGTAAGACCGGTATTGCATGCATAAATCGTTGTTTTTAAGGCAACGTTCCAATTCTGCAATGATTACATTAATTACGCGTATAACTCATGTTTTGCATTGAAACATATACACTTGCACAATTGTTAGACTCCTTGGTCCGTGTTTCAAGACGAGTGAGATAAGAAAGTACTTTCTAAAAGCAACGTAAAAAATAGGGAACTTTATATATTACATATAAAATATAACCCTAATTTTAGTTTACCTCAGCAAATGATAGTAATTATAATAAGTTCAAACTATGTAAATCTAATCATGAGAGAAAAGATTTATTAAAAAATATATATATATATTATCACTAATTATCTATATTTTACAAAGCTTAAAAGTCCAAATTATATCAATTCGCTGATGCTTTTTTATAAAAACGAGTGAGATAACTAGAGAAGGGAACTCTAACTATTATCCAACCCAATTCTATTTTTCCTCTCTTATTTCGTTCCATCTTAACGATTTCAGGTACTATTTAATTCTCATTCCTGAGTGCTATTTCATCTTTCCCTCACGGTACTTGTATGCTATCGGTCTCTTACTAATATTTAGCTTTATGTGAAATGTATCACACAAAATATTTGTACTCCAATTTCAAAGAGCACGACTCTATATAAACTATATCTTTAAGAGCACAAATCATCTACAATTCGTTACACTTACGGGACTTTCACCATCTATGGAAAAGCATTCCTGCTTATTTCAATGCAACATTTTGTAGAGTACTTCAAAAGAATATTGTTTAATAACCAGACATTTCCTAACACAGAATGTTCAGGATTACACTGATGAGCTTTGATTCTTGTTCACTCGCCGTTACTAAAGAAATCATTGTTATTTTCTTTTCTTTCGCTTAATTATATGCTTAAATTCGGCGAATCTGCTCTTCTAACACAGATAAAATATAGATCGTATATAAAAACTAATTGATAAAATATTTCAACAATTCTTTTTTTTTTACCTTGTATTATACTGTTTGTGACAGGAAAACGGAATAACCTTTGATTGTCAACGACCAACAAAACGAGAAATGAAGACTTAAAAAAAAAAAAAAATAAAGCATTACCACTATTAAATTACTTTAACACGCTACGTAATGTATATATTTTTTTTTTTTAAGAATATAGATCGACCGACTTTGAATAATCGCAGTATAAAAAAAAAAAAGAACTGCTAAAATAGTAATTTTCACTACAACTTATCAATTGTTTAATAATGACGTCGTAAAATTGCCTGCCGTCCGCAATATATGCGTTAACACACAAAAAAAAAAATAAAACATTTTTTTTTTTATGTGCATATTACATAGTATCATTAAAAAACGTACCGCACATAATATAACTTTAATTAATAAAAATTAAAAAAAGTTATAATATAAATAACACTATCACACTTAGCAATAATATATAAGAACATATGGCTTAATAGTTTATAATTTTACAAGTATATAATCCAAAAAAAAAACTGGATAAGTCTATTTAATACCAATTAGTTGAAATTATATTTAATTATCAATAGGGTAAACCTACAATCTAATTAAACGACCTCAAAAAAAATCAAACGTTGAATAAAATACATGATGTCAGCTGTTACACTTCCTTCACATATGTTATTCTCCGAATGCAAACAAAATGAAATTATTATGTAAATCTGAATACTTGACTTCCAATTAATTGCTTAATGGCTTGAAAAGTATAAATCTAAACACAAAAAAAAATTTCATATATGTTTGAGTTTAGTTCAAAAATTAAAAAT